CGACGTTTCTTTGGGTGTCGGCGCGTCCTTGGATTTTCGGCGCCCTTTTGGGTTTCGGCGCATTGTTGGTTTTCGGCGCTCTTTTGGTTTTCGGCGCCTCTTTGGTTTTCGGCGCCCCTGGGGTTTTCGGCGATCTTGCGCGTTTATTTGGTCGTTCCCCCGTGCCCATTTCTGACGCGCGGCTATGCGACCGAAGCTTGATGTTGGCTCGAGAAAAGGCAGCCTCCCGCCCGCCGCGCGCGTGCGCCCTGCCGTGCGCCCTCCCCCGGCCGGCTAGGCCCTTCTTACATTTCTCGCCAGCCGAAGCTTAACGGACAAGTATGCGCTCCGCCATGGCGATCAGGATTACAGCGCCTATGCAGAGGTTGAACCTGAGTAAGAGATGGATGTTGCGGGAAGAAGATGAAGATCAACAGCCGCAAGATGAACGTGATCACGATTTGCTTACCATCCGGGCCAGGGGAGATCCCGCGCCAACAAAGAATTGGCAAAGCATTCTGCGGTTTTTAGCGCCCATTTGGTTTCCTTCGCCTTTTTTGTATTCGGCGATCCGTTCGTCTCTGGAGCTTCTGTTGTTTTCGGCGCCCTTTTCGTTTTCGAGGCCCTTTCGGTTATCGGCGCCTCTTTGATTTTTCGGCGCCCTTCCTTGGTTTTCGGCGCATCGTTGGTTTTCGGCGCCCCCTGGTTTTCCGGCGTTTCTTTTGGTTTTCGGCGCCCCTTAGGTGTTCGGCGCCTTTTTGGTTTTCGGCGCCCTCTTGGTTTTCGGTCCTCCTTTGGTTTTCGGTGTCCTTTTCGTTTTCGGTGTCCTTTTGGTTTCCGGCGCATCTTTGGCTTTCGGCGTTTTTTTTGTTTTTTTTTTTTTTGGGGGGGGGGGCAGGGGGGGTTTCCAAAGAAGGGGGCAGCGAATTCCGCGCCCCCGATGGAAATGGAGGGGGGAAAACGGGTCGTATCCAGAGCGCGAAGGGGTGGGGCTTCCGCGGGGCCCAACAAAGAGGAGGGGGGGGGCTTCCGGCAGAGGGGGTTCAAAGGGGGGGCGTGGGCTGAGCACCCCTTCCTTTTGGGCAGGGGGGGGGTCCGGAGCGCGAAAGTCCGAGCGCAGTATATGACTGCCACCACCAAGATCGAGAATAATCTACGATGCGATTTGGTGCAGTCTTCCTCTGGTGAAACGCCCGCAGCCCCTTTCCCGCCGCCAGCGGCAAACGGGCTGACCCCTGTCTCTGAACGACCGAAACGGAATTCATCAAAGCACGCGCGGTGGTGGTGTATAAAATTTGGGTTGCCAAGAGGAGCGAATTTTTATACACCGCCACCAAGAAGTGCTGTTTCTGCTCCAGGAAGTCCCCATGCCGCGGCGCCTGCGAGGTGCGCCGCGCTCTTTTTCGCCGTGGTGTCGCAGAGTCGCCTGGCATGGCCCTGCCCCTCATCCTTTTGGCGGTAAATTTTTGTTGCGGGCGGTGGTGGTGTATAACAATTGGCCTCGCAGAAACGGGGGGTGTAGTTTCTGAGAGGCAGAAAAAAGGAGCGTGGGGGGGGGCCTCCGGCAGGGCAGGTCCACGGGGGGGGCGGCTAAGCCGTTCCCCCTTTTGGGGGCGCGCCGCGGGCGCGCTTTCTTTTTATTTGTATTTGTTACGACGTAATCCGGCCTTTGACGTGCGCCCTCTTCTTTCTTTCCTTTCCGCCGCAGCCGTTGGCTTCGGTGCGGCTGCGCTGCCTCTTTTGTCGGGGAGGTATGCCCCCGTATCCCATTCCCTGCCGGGCTTGCGATGTTTTTCCCAGAAACGGCGTAGGCCCAGAGTTCTCTTTCAGCTGTTTACCCCCGGATCTGACGGGACGAGGGCCGGCGGATTTCTTTGCGATAAATGACGAGTGGGAAGGGGGCCTGCTAGTTAAATTTTGAGGATGTCCCTAGCGAAACGCTTGTTTTTTTCAGAATTGGTTGAGGATGTCTCGAGCGAAACGCTTGTTTTGTGTTATAGATTGTCCTCTCTTGGGGACCAGAATTTCGAGGATCTCTCAAGTGAAATGCTTGGTTTCACGTGCCCAAATCGTGAGGATGTCTCGAGCGAGACGCTTGGTTTCACGCCTCCAGGTTGCCCAGGCTGAGGTCTAGCATGAGGATTTGTTGAGGATGTCTCGAACGAGAGGCTTGTTTTCACGTGTCCGGTTCGCCCAGGCGGATGTCTAGCATGAGGATGTGTCGAGGAAGTCTCGATCGAGACGCTTGTTTTCACGTGTCCAGGTCGCCCAGGCGGATGTCTAACATGAGGATGTGCTGAGAACGTCTTGAGCGAAACGCGTGCTTTCACGTGTCCAGGTCGCCCAGGCACAGCACAATTCTCGGCACGGTACATCAATATCGATACCCTTAACACCGCAGCCTGGCATGTTGCCTGGCACGTTCCGCAGAGCGTCCCGTGGCGAGTCCACCTGGCACGTCGCGCGGTGCACGTCCATTGGCACGTTCCGTAGCGCGTCCCCTTGGCACGTCCTGCGGTGCGTGCCCATGGCACGTCCCCTGGCACGTCGCTTGGCGCGTCCGTTGGGACGTTCCGCGGCGCGTCCTCCTGGCATGTCACGTCTGTCGATTAGCTCTGGGGCAGCTACCATCTGCTTAGGCAACTCGAGCTTAAGATCCAGATCTGTTCGGTCAGGACTCGGTGGCAACGAGGACTGGATCCACAACGCGATACATACATACATATATATATATATATATATATATATATATATATATATATATATATATAATATATATATATATATATATATATATATATATATATAGAGATATTTATATATATAGCACAATCGCGGCATGGCACATCGCAGTTCAGCACGGCCCAGGCCAGCACAGCCTTCGGCACGGTACATCAAGATCGATACACTGAACATTGCACCTTGGCACGCTCCTTGGCGCGTTCCGTGGCGAGTCCACCTGGCACGTCGCGCGGCGCGTCACCTGGCACGTTCCTCGGCACGTCCATTGGCACGTTCCGTAGCGCGCCCCCTTGGCACGTCCCGCGGTGCGTGCCCATGGCACGTCCCCTGGCACGTCGCCTGGCGCGTCCCTTGGGACGTTCCGCGGCGCGTCCTCCTGGCATGTCACGTCTGTCGATTAGCTCTGGGGCAGCTACCATCTGCTCAGGCAACTCGAGCTTAAGATCCAGATCAGTTCGGTCAGGACTCGGTGGCAACGAGGACTCGATCCACAACGCTATATAGAGCACAATCGCGGCATGGCACATCGCAGTTCAGCACGGCGTAGCACAGCACAGCTCCTCGGCACAGTACATCAAGATCGATACATTTAGCATTGCATTTGCCCGTCGCCCACTCAGGTGTCTTTGAAACGTTGCCATTCCTTACATTTCTATATTCCTTTCCGGGTTCGTGGGTCGATCATGTTTTCTGGGGGGCTTCGATGCTGTTCCATTGGCCGCGGTGTTCGCCGCCTGGGCGGGTCTCGCCGCGCTGGTGGGCCTGGGCGGTGAGGGGCCGTGGCTTGGGGGGCCGCGGCGGCGGCGAGACGGCGGTGCGCGCGGTCGACCGTCTGAGCCTCATCCCATCACCTTCCCTTTTGCCTTCCTCCTTGTCCTCCGCTGTCTCCCTCCTCGTCCTCCCCCTCGTGCTTTGCCTCGCCTCCTTGTTGGTCGAAGCCGCGCGCGGGCTTGATGGCTGCTGCGTACTTGTGGGGCGCGCTCGACCTCTCATCCCCCCTCCGTGCTGTGCTGTGATGATGGCGATGATGATTATGATGATGGTGATGATGACGTCTATGCTGGTGGATCCCTGTTGGGGCCCGGGGGGGTGCCCCGCGCAGGCGTACCCCGTGGGGGGCGAGGGTGGCGGAGGCACCCGGGAATCCCGTTTGAACCTATTCCATCCCGACGAGCGGGCGAGGAGGGAGGCGCCCCGCGTTGGGGGTGCCCGTTCCCACGCCGCAAGGGGAGGCCCCTGCCGCCGGGCCCCGCCGGGGGAAGAGGCGGGCGGGCGCGCGGTGAAGGGGCCGCCGCGGCCAAGGAAGGGAGGTCCACCCCGCGGGCGCAATGCGCTCTCGAACAGGCCTGGCCCCTGGCTCGCCTCCGCGAGGAGCGCCGGGCCCGGGCGGGGGGGGGCTGGGCTCCCCGGGCGCGCGGGGCACGCCCCGAGCTGGGGCGTTCCCTCCTCCGGCCCAGCCCCGCGCCGTGGAAGGGGGGGGGCGCCGCCGACGGGCGGGGAGGGGCCCGCGACGGGCCCCCGCGAGGCCCGAGGGGCGGCCAGGAAGAGGGGCGGGCGGGCGTTCGACCCGAAGCGCCCGTTCACCAGCTGCCTGGACCGAAGGACTCCCCCAGCGGACCGCTGGGGTGCCGGGAGCCAGGGTCAGGACCGCGAGGGCCCAGTGCCCAGGGCCGATCCGCCCGGGAGCGAAGTGTATCTGTCCCAGGACTTCGCTGGGACTTCCCGAGACGTCTCTGGGACACCCTCATCCTGGCGGGAAGGGATGAAAGGGAAGAGGGTTCCCTCGACGTCATTCTGGAATTTTGTGGAACCGCGGGATTCGCGAGCTTCCTGGGGGAGGCGTCGTTTCTGACCCATCAGTCAGGACAGCCTCAAAGAGAACAGAGAAACAACGAACAGTCTCTTCCACACGCCGACACAGGGCCGGCGGAATTCTAGGCGTGAGGACGATGAGGATGATGGAGATGACGATGATGCTGATGAGGGTGGTAATGAGGATGCTGAGGATGATGCTGATGATAATAAGGATGCTGATGCTGCTGATGATGCTGATGCTGATGCTGATGATGCTGATGCTGATGCTGATGCTGATGCTGATGATGATGATGATGATGATGATGATGATGATGATGATGATGATGATGGTGATGCTGCTGATGATGATGATGTGATGATGACGACAATGATGATGACGACGATCACGACGCCGCCGCCGACGGCGGCACCTACGGTCTCAGAGCCAGTGGGGCGGGACGCGAGGGCAGCAGTGCCGCCGGCAGGTACAAGGACTTCTTCAACCTCATAAACCCGAAGAGGCTCCTCGGGCCGAACATCTCGTCCTATTCCTTCCTCACCTGCCCTCCTCCTCCTCCTCCTCCTCCTCCTCCTCCTCCTCCTCCTCCTCCCCCTCCTCGTCCTCAAGCAGAAAGCAGCAGGTGCAGCAGGCTTGACCTCCAGGCGCCTTGTCTTTGTTCTTGTTCTCCAGTTTTCTGTTGTTTGTCTATGCTGTCGGGTCTCCGAAAGCATTCAGAGGCGTCTGGAGACATCCAGGGGCCTCAGGACGCCTCCACAGCTTGTGGATTCAGGTTGGACAGCACGTCCGTGTGGTGTGTACACCTGGTAAATGGAGACCACACGTGTTAACCCCCAAGCATGGGTGCAGGCCGTGGTGTGTTGTATGATTTGGGTGCTTTGAGTTTTCGACCTTGTGTCGTGGGCGCTGCCCATCGGCCCTACGTGGACGGCCCGAGACGCGCTAGACACCTAAGCAGACTAGCCGAGCTCTTCGCCAGACAGGTCAACATGCGGGGATTTCCGGTCTCCGCAAATGCGAAAGCCGGGCTTTACACCCCCTGGCCGAGGCAGCATGTGAAAATGCATGTCTGCTGCGCTAGACGGCTTTCTGAGGCAGTTCCCTTCGGCGCGCCCCCATCCCTGGGAGGCGCATGAACTGATGTGATTCGGCGCGTAGGACATAGCACGGCAGATACATTGTGGGGATAGGACCCTAATGCTAACACACCTACTTCTTGTGGATAGGAGTGGGGGGCGGCCTCTCTCTGTTTGCCAGCCTTGCCGCTCATGCGTTCGCCTACGAGGTTGTTGGCTAAATGGTGCAGTCGCCTTTTGCCCCCCGGTTTCCGTGTACTGCCTCCTTTTTCCCCACTTTTTGTTTCATTGCCTCTAATCAGCCTGAGGGCGGAGGCTCGTGGACTTCCCTTGGAGTTCTGGATGGTTTTGACGGGTTCTAGTGTGTCCTCTGCTTTTCTCCCCCTCGACTCCTTTCTCCCCTTTCCTGTATTCCCCTGGGCTGAGGTGCTATATACATGTATGTGTGTATGTATATATGTGTGTATGTTGGTATGTATGTATTCACATAACGGCGCACCGGGGCCCGGGCCCGGGGCCGCGACCTCTACCACAAAACGCCACCAGAAAGCGCCAAGAGAGCCAGAAGACGCTCCGAGAGAGACCTGAGACGCCCACAGGCCGCTGCAAGACGCCCAAGATGGCCTCCAGACGGCTTAAGAAACCCCAAGACACCCCAAGAGGCCCCCAAGAGGCCCCCCAAGAGAGCCCCAAGGGGCAAACATAGCCCCATTCCTTTAGTAAAACGTATATCTTTAGCATATTGATTGTTTCCGCTGTCGTTCCGTTCTTGACGACCTTAGAGGCTCCCAAGACCGCCCCGAGACGGCCCAAGAGGCGCACTAGAGGAACCCGAGACGGCCCAAGAGGGCCCCAAGACGGTCCAAGAAGCGCCCAACACGGCCCAAACGGGCCCCCAAAGGGGCCCAAGAGGAGCCCAAGATGGGGAAATCCAATTGAAATTTCGAGCCCCCCGCCCCAAGAGGACCCCCGAGGCCCGCAAGAGGCCCCCAAGAAGCTCCCAAGAGGCCCCAAGAGGCCCCCAAGATGCCCCAAGAGGCTTCCAAGACGCCCCCCAAGGGAGCCCCCAAGAGCAATAATCGTCCCATTCCTTTCGGAAAACGTAATTTTTGACATATTCGCCTGATTCGCTTTCCCAGCGTCCAAGACGGCCCCAGAAGTCTCCGAAAAACGCCCCAGGGGTCCCCAAGAGGGTTCCAAGACGTCCCAAGAAGCGCCCGAACCCCCTGAGAGGCCACCAAGACCGCTCCCAGCGGGGGCTCGGACGAAGGCTCCGAATGGATTTTGCCGCCCTCGCGCTGGAGAGGCCCCCAGGAAGCTCAAGGAAGCCCCCGAGAGGCCCCTCAGAGGGTTCCGGAGACCCCCAAGAAACCCCAAGACAGTCCAATAAGCGTCAAGGCGCCCCAAGAGACCTCCAGAACGGCCCCAAAGGGAGCCCCAAGGACCAAAAATCGCCCAATTCCTTTAGGAAGTACTTTTTTCGCATGTTCGCCTGATTCGCTTTCCCAGCGTCCAAGACGGCCCCAGAAGTCTCCGAAAAACGCCCCAGGGGGCCTCAAGAGGGTTCCGAGACGTCCCAAGAAGCGCCCAAACCCGCAAGAGGCCACCAAGACCGCTCCCAGCGAGGGTCACGGACGAAGGCTCCGAGTGGATTTTGCCGCCCTTGCGCTGGAGAGGCCCCCAGGAAGCTCAAGGAAACCCCCAAGAGGCCCCTCAGAGGTTTCCGGAGACCCCCAAGAGACCCCAAGACAGTCCAAGAAGCGTCAAGGCTCCCCAAGAGGCCTCCAGATTCTGGAGGCCTCTTGGGGAGCCTTGACGCCCCCTTCCGTAGCCTTTTTGGCTCAAGCCAATTTTTGCTCAAGTCCGAGCCGCGCGCTACTCGGGGCTGGCGGGCAGCGCTCCGCCCCGGCCCTGGCCCCTATGGCGGGCGGCTTGCCCTATGGCATGAACATCAAGAACACCTTCCTGGACTGCGAATCGCCGTGGGTCGTCAACATCACCGTCGGAGAGCGCCCCAAGTCGGCCCCTGCCTCTGACCGCACCTCCTCCAACTCGGGCGAATCTAAACAGCATCAGCAGTGGGGAGGAGGATATGGACAATCCAGTGCGGTGGCCGCCCAGCAGGACAGGGTGCGGGCCGAGCTAGGAGAAGCAAATGCGACTCCGGAGGTGGAGGGGTACAACGTTTCGGAGGGATGGGCAAGTCATCGCCCACGGGCGCATCGGCGTAGAGTGCAGCGGAAATATGCGAGAGACAGGAGGCGGGCATGCGCGAGCGACATGCAGAGGTTGCCCATGTATGGAGATGGAGGGGCTCCCCCTGGGGCTGGCAGCTCGACCAGAATGCGGGCGGCTGGCACCATCATCTCTCTGTGATTGCCCCTGGGGCGGGGGCGTGGCCGACGGGAGCCGCCATCTCGCAACGACGCCACGCCACGGCCGGCCGGCCTTTTGCAGAGTTGCCCATCCAGCAGCAGTGCCAGTCGCGGATCCTGGGCGCTCTTTTGATTCTGGGCGGCGGGGGGAGAGAGCTCAGAGGGGGGTGGTGGTGGGGGAGAACAGGGCTAAGCATTGCAGCTTGGACGGTCTCACTTTCCCAGCGCACGGATCACGGATCCCGTGGCGCGATTGGGGTCCAGGTCTCTGCATCAAGAGGAGAGAGCGCCGTGAAATTGGCACCTGATTTTTTGTCTGATTCGGTCCCAGACGGCCTTGCTTTGTTTTCGTGGCCAGTGTGTCATCTAAGGCTCCTTCCTTTGGGGCTGCCAGAATCTGCACGTTTGTGTACAGCCATGCGTGGGATTCTTCGGCTTGCCCTGTTCGGGAGAGCCGCTTCTGATTTTCACGCGCAGGCGCTGGCTTGATTCCTCTGCACGTTGTTGCTGTCCTCGTGCCGTGGCCAGTGTGTGTGTGTGTGTCAGACGTGTTCACTGGGGCAGCCAGAGGCTGCGCGCAGATCGGTTTTTTTTGGCCTCATGCCAGCAGTGCCCAGGGCGTTGCCGTTGCCGCACTCTCGTAGAGGGGGCGGCGGGAGCAAGTTTGGATGCGGGTGGGTGGAGGAGGATGGGGAGGGAGCGAGCAACATCGTAACCACTGCAGCGTGGGCAGTCTAACACTCTTCTGGAATGCATATTGTGGCAAGCTCTGGGTCCAGGACATTGCATCAAAAGGAGTCCATTGAGGTTCTTTGCTGTTAAGTTGTTGCTTGCTTGTAAGTCTGACTCGGTCCCAGCAGGCACCGAGATTTGACACCTCAGATAGTCAAGCGTGACCATGGCTTCGTCACAACTGACGTGCTTTGCCTCCGTTGCCAGTGTGTCATTCACGGCTCCTTCCCCTGGGACAGCCAGAACGTGCACGTTGTTGTACAGCCATGCGTGGGGTTGTTCGGCACGCCCTGTCGGGGAGAGCCACCTTTCGATATTCGAGCGCAAGTAGTGTCTAGGGCGCAGGCGACCGGCACGAAGATGCAGCCCAGCGCTACAGTCGATGCTTACGTTGCTTCTGTCGCCTGTGGCAATCGAATCCTTGGGCACTTCAACATTCCAAAGGTCGGCTACACAGCCGTGCGTGAGATTCTCGAGCAAGCTATGTGGGACTAGTTCCTTGAACCTAAACAAAAAAAGAGGCCTTCAGGAAGACAGACAAACGTCACATTTCTTTAGGAAGTACTTTTTTTCGCATGTTCGCCTGATTCTCTTTCCCAGCGTCCAAGAAGGCCCCAGAGGTCTTCGAAAAACGCCTCAGTGGTCCCCCTAAAGCCTCCCCAGGGGCGCCTCGCACGCTAGACGGCTGCTTGGGGAGGGCTCGGGGAGGGGAAAGTCGTTCGGTTTCAATGGGAAAACGCACATGTTCAGTACATGTGATTTTAATTTCTTTTCCGACGTTCCAAGACGGCCCAAGATGTCTGAAAGACTGCCTCAACTCGGCTCAACAGACCTGGTAAAGAGCCGACGGGTGGACCCTGAGGTCTCCAAGACGGACCAGGAGGCGTCCAAAACGATCCAGGAGAGCCCCAAGACGGCTCCAAGAGGGGGAGGCTAAACGAACAATTCGAACCTTCCGCCCCAAGATGCCCTCGAGAACTCCCAGTAGGGTCCCAAGTCCCAAGAGGCCCCCGAGAGGCCCCAATCCTCCTCCTCCTCCTCCTCCTCCGCCTCCTCGTCGCCTCTCCTCAAGACGAGCCTCGCACGCTGGACGGCCGCTAAGGGAGAGGGCAACGGGAGAGGAACATCGTCAAAGTCCGATCGGAAAACGTGCAGTTCCAGCACGTACGATTTATCTTCTTCCGAGACGGCCGAAGATGCCCCCGAGACAGCCGTCAAACGGCCCACGAGATCCCGCACGAGAGGCCACAGGCGACCCAAGAGGGCTTCAAGACGGCCCGAAGGCGCCCAAGAAGGCCGAGGAGACGCCCAAGACGGCT